GTAGGATCAGAGGGCTAATGGGATTATAGCATGAGTGAGAGAAGTAACTTTAGCAATAACTCACATTGACTGGCCTGACTACTGCTAAGCCCTTGTGCTAAATCCCTACAGGGGTGATCACCGACCATTCCACTGTGCAACCTTCACTTTGGACCACACCATACATATTCCTTGCTCAGTTACAATTTTAACTTCTTATTGCCGAGTTATAATTTTAATTTCTTACTGCAAAAATAAATATGTAATAAATATTTTATATGCCATGTTCTATTGGAATATGTACAAATAATTCGTGAAATTATAGCATCATTTATGTGCCAGAAGAAATAGTAGCAAATAAGAAAGTAGAAATTGGAGCGTCTGAGCTCTGGACCCAGGCTTGCAAGGGGTGAATGATTCTCCCACGTCCTAGCAGATGACCTGTACCAGTCAGCATGGGCTGCAAGGACAAAGTACCACAGACTGGGTGGCTTAAACAACAGACATTTGTTTTCTCATGGTTCTGGAGGCTGGAAGTCCAAGATTGAGGTTCTGGCCGTTGATTTCCCGTGTTAGTCCCCATCCCAGCAGCCTCCTGCCCGTGTCCTCAGAGGGCGATGACAGAGCGAGCTCCTTGCTGTCTCTCATTTGAAGGACACTAATCCCATAGGATCAGGGCCCATCTCACGACTTCAAGTGGCCTTCACTGACTTCTGAGGGGCCCTGTCTCCTAAAGCAGTCACACAGAGGGGCAGGGCTTCTTTGATCTTTTGGGGTACACATTTCAGTCCTAAACATGACCTTAGGTAAGGAACTTTAGCCCCTGGGCTCAGTTTCCACATCTGTTAAATGGAGACAGTAGAAACACCTGCTCATGAGATTCTGATGAAAACGTGATACATTGACTCAGGGAAGCATTGGAGCAACGCCCAGCGGGCTGGGGACACTACAGGAAACTTTAGTTTTGCTGAAGTGTGTCCCATTTTGCTTGCCACTTATGATAGCTGATCTCCTCCTCAAGAGCCATGCACCAGCCGCTGGTCTACACTCCACACCCCTCCTGTGCACTCCACGGGCCTCTACCTGGAAATTCAGAGCTGTCCCGCACTCAGCTAGCTCTCCAAGAGTGTCAGATGTGGTTACCTTTTCCAATGGATTCAATGTTTCAGGGCCTATTGGCATTAAAGGACTTCCATCCTCTTGCCAATGGTTAACAGAAGGTTTAATTGCTAAACATCGAAATGCTCCCTTTGACCCTCCAGTCATTGGAAACAGGCCCTGTAGGCAGACTGAATTCATTTCTGCTCTCATCACTACTGGCCAGTAGGTGGCAGTAACCTTTTGCTTTTGTCCCATGTAAATATAGCTTTGAAAAAAGTTGATAGGCAGGAGCAATTTCACAACACCTGTGTTACAACTGCTGGTGGAAAGTGACATTATCTGAATCCAGGTAATTGCTGCAAAAGACATGTCACCGGATTTTTCCTCTTTCATTCCCCTTGACCTTGAAGATGCTAAGAGGTTACCTAAAACGGGCAATGATGAGCATAATGTTACCCCAGCTGTGGGATTAAAAAAAAACCCTCATCTCTGCCTGGAGGTCCCACATCTTCCAGCTTCAAAGTATTTCATAATCTCAAATGGTTATTGAAAGTAACACCCAATTGCTATTGGATTTTAGTTCAGTTACATAGGAGCTTTAAAAATTTGTAATAATAATGTTTAAACTTGTTAAAAGCCAAATTTAGCTGAAGACCTGAGCATCTGTGTCACACATGTGTTCGTATGTAACACGTGTTATACATAACATGTGTTTGTTGTAACCCTCGCCAACACATTTCACCTGCATGCCTCAGTTTCTGCACCAGCAGAATGGGAATAATCCCACCACCACCTTGTTGATTCGCTACATGCAGTAAATTAGTTTTACTACAAATAAAGCTCCAAGAACTGTTTCTGAACACGTGGTAAGCACTCCTCAGATGTTGTTAATGTTATTACTTCATCGTCCCTCTGGTTGTAAGAGTTGTCATTGTTTTTATCCACAGTAGGTTCAAATTCTGTTAAAATTTCTGTAAAGGCCGCATTGTAAATGTTCCAGGCTTTTCAGGCATAGGCTTTCTGTTGCAACCACTCAACTCTGCCATGAGAGCATGACAGTGAGTGTAGACAGCATATAAATAAAAGGGGTGGCTATCTGCCAATTAAACTTTATTTATGGATGCCGAAATTTGTCTCTCATATAATTTTCGTGTGTCGCCATCTATGATTCTTCTTCTGATTCCTTTTTGAACCATTTATAAATGTGAAACTTGTCTCTGGCTTGCTGACTACTAAAACAGGCAGCCGGCTGGCTTTACCCACAGCTGTTGTTTGCCAGCCCTGGTCTCGCGGATTCGATGTTGGATTCATAATGTCCCATTTACAGAAAGAAGTGACGGTCTGTTGTAAGTGTGTGCGTTGTGGATTTTATAAATAGAAAATAGTACAAAAGGACAAGTGTCCTGTATGTTTTTGCATTTGTTCAGCTTTATTTCATGGTGTGATTAGAAAACGGAGACAATCCCCAAATTTGGTGAGGTGTCAAATTCCTGCAAGAGAGCAGGTGGTGGGGTCCATGACCCCTTTTTTGGCCGAATTTCCTATTGCTCAATGCATCTATCACCAGGGAGTAAACACTCAGACGAGGGCAAGAAGCCCCCAAGAGACCTTGGCGACACATTGCCTCCTTTCAGCCAGAAATCGAAAGTCCTAATTCTCATTCTGAAAACCACAGCAGCCCGTGAGCCAGGTCTTGGGGGACAGGCTACAACTGGAATTGTGTGTGTGGAAAAGGAACTTAGATCGCAGGCTGGCTCGTCTTTCCGGGGGCTGGAAATCAGACACACTCGCTCAGCCTCTTTCTAGACGTGTGTCCTTCTGAGAGTTTGGAGGCTCAGTGCCCCCCTTTCCGGGGGAGTTAATCATATGCAGAACGTTCTGGTGGTTGGTAGGAGCACAGGCAGCCTGTGTGTGAGTCTTGCCTCTCCCCTCATTAACTGGGGGATCCCCAGAAAGTAAGTGAACCTCTGGGCTTCAGCGTCTCAGATTGAGAATGAACTCACAACACCTCTGTTCCACAGGGGCGCTGCAGGGTCCGTACCCCTTGTATGAGGTGGCCCTGCTTACAAAACCGAGCATGTGCTAAATAATTATTTACTGTTTTCTTTATTACTGTAACAAGACTCGTGAGACATTCAGTGACGTTACATGTCCCTAGGTCACGCGAGCCATGATGATCGATGGTTATTCCCTCCGTTCAACTAACAAATAATAATTAAACTCCTAATAAACGCAAACGTACTATTAAGAATAGGAGATACAAATCTGGGTTAAAGCAGGCACTGCCCTGACCACGTGGTCCTTACAATTCATTGGGGAAGAAAGACATAAATTAAATATTCCATTGTGGGCTCACTGCCTATAGCTCAGTGGTTAGGGCATCGGCCACATACACCAGGGCTGGCAGGTTCAAATCCGGCCCAGGCCTGCTAAACAACAATGACAACTAAAACAACAACAAATAGTCAGGTGTTGTGGCGGGGGCGGATAGTCCAGCTACTTGGGAGGCTGAGGTAAGAGAATCACTTCAGCCCAAGAATTTGAAGTTGCTGTGAGCTGTGATGCCATAGCACTCTACTGAGGGTGACACAGTGAGACTCTGTCTTAAATAAATAAATAAATATTCCATTGTGTCCCCCAACTTTGGAATGATGTAAATGGTTATTCCAAGACCATCCTACCCAGCACAGTCATCCCCGGCCTTCTCCTACGTTGCCCCGACCTCGTGTTAATATTATTAATCTATTTCTATTCAGACCATAGAACCATATGTGGTTTTGTGTAATGAGCACATGTGTTTTGCTTATCGTGAGCCAGATGTTATTTTAACCATATTATAAGCAGTAACTCTTGAGTCCTTGTAGTAGTCTTATGAGGCACAGAGAGGCTAACTTACTGCCCTCAGGACACACAGCTGTGAGGGGAAGCGGGTGGGTTCAAGCCCAGCACTCTTGCTCTGGACTGCACACCCATAACCACGGTGCCATGCTGTCTGCAACTAAGGGAAATGGCTCGTTGGCGTATTCATTGCCCATTTGTTTCTTGTCTGCTGAGATTTCAGCCCAGGGAGTCAGAGGGCCTCATCCGTTTAATTCAGAGCTGTGCCCCTCGTGCTTGCTATGGCATTAGATACAGAGTCATATGCTACAAACGCCCCTTTTGGTCCACAACATAGAATGTACAGACAGCAGTCCCGTAAGATTATAATGCTGTGTTTTTAATGTATCTTTGTTATGTTTAGATATATTTAGATACACAAAGACTAGTGATGTGCTGAACAGTATCGTAACCTAGGAGTAACGGGCCGTCCCATCCAGCCTGTGTCTACAGCGAGCCTGCGCCAGCTCAGTTTGTTGGTACACGACGATGTGCACACAGTGACGAAATCACCTAACAATGCTTCTTAGTGTGTATCCCTGTCCTTAAGGGGCACATGGACATACTTATTAAATGAATGAATAAAAATATAGCCAAGACGTATATACTAAAACAGTGCTAAGTACTGTGAGAGGGTTTTACAGGGAGTTAACAGGGGAAAGCTAACAATTAGAGGTATTATTTCAATCACCCTCATTCTAAAGCCTCCTTCATATGGTATCTGTGACTCTAGCTAGGAGGGGAAAAGTGTGATCTACACCAAACGCACTTTTGCGGGTGATAAATAGTTCCCTCGTGGCGATGAAATGCAATTGAAAATTGCAGCCGCATTTGACGTTAACTCGGTTGGATATATTACGTATGAATCCACAATCTCCTCTCCGTTGCTCAGAACAAATACAAGCACTTTGTTCTGACTTCCGCTTGTGACACACACCCGGAGGGGAACGGGTCAGGGTTCTGCCCCTCACCTTCCCACGTGAGACTTTGGGGTTTGATTTGTTTCTCTCTTCCTTTCTTTTTTCCTCTCGGTTGCAGGAGCCATGGGTAACCAGATGAGTGTTCTACAGAGAGAAGAAGACCCAGAGAATGAAGCAGAAGGAGAGACTTACAAGGTAGCACGGTGACAGTCACAGGGACATGGGCCACTAGTCGGAGGCGTTAGAGACCATGGAAGGATAAACTGCCCAGCCGGAGCCCACCACATAGAGATGATTAATGATGGATGGTTCGGTTGTATTTGAACTTCTAGCCTCCATCAAGATCTTGATAAAAATGCAGGTTCTGAGCCCTCCTAAGACTGACCAAAGGGGGAACTGGACGAAGTGGGAGCCTGTTGAAACCATTTGGTGCCTGCTCCCAAGTAGGTTGAGCCCAGCAGGTCCCAACTGTGGGTTATTCTTGCCCCAACACCCCTCCCAACCCACCAGGGATAGTTGACAACATTTGGAGCTATTTTTGATTGTCACAGCTCTGAGGGGGGTTACTAGTGTGTGGTGGGTAGAGGCCAGGGATGCTGCCAGATGCCCCTCAATGCACAGGGCAGCCCCCCAACACACTCCAAGGAATGATCTGGCCCCAGTGCTGAGGATGAGAAACCCAGGTCTAGATCAGTGGTTCACAGTGTCAGCTGCACATTAGAATTACTTGGGAAACTTTGACAACTTGTGATTCCTGAGTTGCATACCAGACAAATTAAATCAGAAACCGACTGTGGGTGTGAGAACAAGATTCAGTGTTTTCAAGGTTCCTCAGCTGCGGAGACGTGTGAAGACCCACTCAATTCAGAACCCTCTTTCAGAACCTTTCTCTCAAGGGCTGAGACCAAGAAAATTAAACATTCTCCATAGATCATCTATAACCAGGGAGCAGAAAGCCTAGATTTCCACCACCAGTGTGTTTTATATCAATTCAGTTTAAGATTAGGAGCCTTGGCCGGGTGCCAGGGCTCACTCCTGCAATCCTAGCACTCTGGGAGGCCAAGGCAAGCAGACCATCTGGGCTCAGGAGCTCAAAACCAGCCTCAGCAAAGAGAGACCCCATCTCTACTAAAAACAGAAAAATTAGCTGGGCATTGTGGTGGGTGCCTGTAATCCCAACTACTTGGGAGGCTGAGGCAAGAGGATCGCTTGAGCCCAAGAGGTTATGATTGCTGTGAGTTATGACACCTGGGTAAGAGAGTGAGCCTGTCTGAAAACAAAAAGGAAAAAAGATTTGGAGCCTCACTAAATGTAGGAACCCCCCGTAGCAGGAAAATAATACCTATGACTGAATATTGATTGCATCGCAGAAGAAATTCCAGCTCAGAATAGTTTGGATTTGATGAAACGGCCGGAAAACTCAAATCCCCCTTTCAAGTGGGTCTCAGTCTTGAAATGAGTATTAGAATTACGCAGCCCACTTTTAAAACCCTTGCTGCCTTGCCTCACCTGAGACCAATTAAAATGACAGTCAGTGGGTATGGGCCGCTCTTAGTCTCAAGCCCCACAAATGATTTCAAGTCCAGCTAAATCTGGGAACTTCAGGCTTCCCGGAGCCAAATCAGTAACAAAAATGAGCTCAGCAGGGGGGAGTGAAGAGGGAGGGCGGGGCCCAAGCCAGAACAGAACAGTGCTGGCCTCAGCCACGGAAAGGAGGACTTTTCCTTAGGAGTTAGAAAGCAGCCTTAGTGAAACCTCCTGATTTTTAATGATTAACAACTGATTCCAAAACACTTAAAACACTCTGTTGACCAAATAAATCAAATTTGCATGCCAAGTATAGACCTGGGGCTGCCAAATGGTTTGGCTATAATATCTAGACCAAACGGTTTGACGTGGGGATCTCGTGATTTCTTGGTAGACTGAATGCTAAATTCAAAAACACAGATTTATTGGAAACAATTCAAACCATTACAAAAGCGCAAAGAAGAGAAATCTTCTCTATTCCCCTAGAACTTTCCCACCTTTAGGAGTTGATATTTAGTCCTCTGGTTTTATTTCTCTCTCGTTAACCTATAAAATACAATATGCAAAGTACTTAGCCTATAATCAAGATTTAAGTAATATGGTATAATTTATATTATCTTATTGTAAAAGTGACGTTCTATAACATATTCTTTTTTGCAACTATTTTTCTTTCCATAGGAGTGTGTGTACATGTCTCTCTCTGTAATCTTTTAATATGCTGGTAATAAATAACAGGAGGGGAAAGATATCAGGGCAGGGGCCTGAAAGTTATTAAGAGAGATTGCAGCAATGAAGATGCAGGTTGGGGTGTGGGACAGAAAAACCAACAAGGAACTTCCTGTATTCGACCATTGTGTTGACTAAAGATCTGGTGATGATTTGTCTGTGTGTGTGCGAGAGAGTGGGGTGAGGCTAACATCACAGGTTTCAGAATCCTCCTGTGAAATCCTTGTACCGCCCCTGACTCAGGGCCTGCAGGTGGGTGTGGGGCCATCTGAGCTATAGCACAAACACTGGAGGGTTTTCATGACAACAGGAGTCCAGCCCTTGGAGTGGGTTATTTCATTTTTCTGAGGGCTAATAGAAAGCTGGGTAGGTTCTAGAAACAGTCTTTAAGTTTGAGTTTGGGGAGGCACCCTTGTAGCCTTGAGTTGCTTCCTCGAGTTGGTCTAATTTTCCTGAAAGGCCTGACTCACAGAGCCATGTATTCTGTTCCAGGTGGCAGAGGACAGTCAGTGCGCTCCAAATGGGGTCACGGTGGTGGTGTCAACCCACACCGTCCAACACTTCGATGAAGGTCAGTGCCATGCTGGGGCGAGCCCTGTCCTTCTGTGGTGGGGGAGGGTCCACCGATGTTCACAGCAAAACCAAGTGAAAGAGTTTTCACTTTGAGAATCCTTGTTATTAATTCTCGGGGCTGTCTGATCAAAGTATCACACCCTGGGTGGCTTAAAGGCACCAATTTATTGTCTCATGGTGCCAAAGGCCAGAAGTCCAAAATTAAGGTGTAGACAGAGCTGGTTCCTTTGGAGGGCTCTGTGGGAGAATTGGCCCCGCAGAGGTGGATGGCATCTTCTCCCTGGGTCTTCACCTCGTCTCGCCTCTATGGCACCCCTGTCTCTGTGTCTACACTCCCCCTTTCTGTAAGACAAAAGTCCCACTGGATTAGAGCCTGTGCCAATGACCTCATCTTAATGTGATCATCTGCAAAGACCCTATTTCCAAATACGGCTATATTCACAGGGCATTAAAACATCCACATCTTTAGCGGGGACCCAACGGAATCCATAACAATGACTTGTCTCTTCTGAGTATTCTCAGGAGAGCCCGAGGATTTACAGCAGATAAGACAAAAGCAAGGAAGTGGGAAACTCAGACAGCTTGGCTGCTGGAGTCAGACCTGGGTTAAAATCCCTGCCCTCCAGTTTGGAGGCCGTGTGATGTGGAACAAGGCGTTTGACTTCCCAAGCTTTAGTTTTCTGATCTCTACCACTGAGCCACGGGCTCCCAGTCAGTTTTCTGATCTCTAAAGTGGGGAGAAGAATTGCAGAATTGCTGAACGCATTCCAGGAAGCATTTAACACAGGACCGAATATTTAGGAATTCCTTAGAAACTGGTTATTATGGAAGACAACAGAATATTGCCTAGATGAAGGCAGCTTTTAAAACTCAGCAATATATGAATTTATTTGACATTATTTTCGAGTCTAAGCCTCAAAAGCGATCAGGTCCTAGTATGTGAAGAAGAAACAAATGATATCTTAAAAGGTAACATAGGCCAGGTGCAGTGGCTCACAGCTGTAATCTCAGCACTCTGGGAGGCTGAGGTGGGTGGATTGCTTGAACTCAGCAGTTCGAGACCAGCGTGAGCAAGAGTGAGACCCTGTCTGTACTAGAAATGAAAAACTGAGGCAAGAGGATCGCTTGAGCCCAAGAATTAGAGGCTGCTCTGAGCTATGACACTACAGGACTCTACAGAGGGCAACAAAGTGAGACTGTACATCAAAAAAAAAAAAAAATTAGTATGGCCCAATGGTTCAGAATAAGAACTCTACGATCAGACTGTTAGCTTTGCCATCTGCTAGCTGTGTGACCTTGAACAAGTTACTTAACCTCCCTGAACCTCAGGCTCCTCATCTGGACAGTGAGAGTAATAAAAGGACCTTTAACATAGATACCAGCAGGCTCAGCACCCGTGGCTCAAGTGGCTAAGGCACCAGCCACATACACCTAAGGTGACAGGTTCAAATCCAGCCCAGGCCCACCAAACAACAATGACGGCTGCAACCAAAAAAAGCCAATCCTTGTGGCAGGCGCCTGTAGTCCCAGCTACTTGGGAGGCTGAGGCAGGAGACTCACTTGAGCCCAGGACTTGGAGAGTTGGAAGTTGCTGTGAGCTGTGATGCAACAGCACTCACTACCCAGGGTGATAGCTTGAGGCTCTGTCTCAAAAAAAAAAATAGATATCAGCTGTAGTAAACTGTCATCTCAAAGCACCCTGCACGTGAGTCTTCTCTATTTATTACCCATCACTATTATACTATAGTTGTGATTTTTGTTATTTACAAGTAACATTCTGGATCTCAGTTTCCTTTCCTGAACAATGAGAAGATGATTCATGTCATTGGTTTCAGAGGTTTTAGGATTTCCTGGGGAACTTATTAAAAATTTGCACTTTGGGCCTGGCACAGTAGCTCACATTTGTAATCCTAACACTCTGGGAGGCCAAAGCAGGAGGATCCCTTGAGCCTGGGAGTTTGAGACCAGCCTGAGCAAAGTGAGACCCCATCTGTACTCAAAATAGAAACATTAGCTGGGCATTGTGGTGGGTGCCTGTAGTGCCAGCTACTGGGGAGGCTGAGGCAAGAGGATTGCTTGAGCCCAAGAATTTGAGTTTGCTGTGAGCTACAATGATGCCATAGCATTCTACCAGGGCGACAGAGTAAGACTCTGTGTCAAAAATAATAATAAAATAAAATAAAATAACTTTGCATGTCCTGGTCCCATCCCATAGCTGCTATTCAGAATACCCAAAGATAGGAGCCTGAGAACATGAATGGTTGCAAGCTTTCTAGAAGGTTCTGATCCACAGATGGGATTGCCAACCGCTGGACAAAATAATATCCTACATCTCTTCTTGCCTTTAAATCCTGAGTCAAACTTTAACACTTTGATGTGCACACAGTGGACTGTGTTTCTAGCCCTGGATGAAAATGGTGTGGAAGCTGGCCACGGGGATACACAGGCTGTGAAATGAGAATCAGACATTTATATCACTTGGAAACGATACGTGTTGGTTCTTAAAAAGTTTCAGACGATGCTCCCTCATGTAGTAAGGTTGACACCAGCTTGAACTGCAGCTCAGTGTAATATAGCAGCTCTTTAAGTAGGTGGTGAGGCTGTAACACGCCCTGCAGAAATGCCTGTGCGTCTTTGCCATCATCTGATTAGGAGTATTATCATCATCATCCTCTTTTTAAAAATGACTTTCTTAAGGGAACATTTCAGATTCACAGCCAAATCGAGAGAAAGGTACAGAGATTTCCCATATGCCCACATCCCACATGCACAGCAAAATGTCCATCAGCAGAAGAATGGTTGATCCAATTGGGGTACAGCCACATGGGGGTTCTGAGTCCATTTGTGCTGCTGTAACTAAATACCACACACTGGGTCATTTATAAACCATAGAAATTTATTTCTTATGGTTCCAGAGGCTGGGAGGTCCAAGACCAAGGCCCTGGAAGGTTCAGAGTGTGGTGAGGGCCCCATTCTCTACTTTCAAGATGGTACCTGGTTGCTGTATTCATTGGAAGGGAGGATGTTATGTCCTCACGGTGGCAGAAGGGCAAAAAAGGAACTAAGTTGTTCCCTCAAGCCTTTTAATAAAGTTCATAATTCCATCCAGGAGCGATTTGCCCTCATGACTTAATAGCTATCCCCTAACGGTCTCACCTGTTAGCAACACATTGGCAGTAAAATTTCTTTTTTTTATTTTTGAGACAGAGCCTCAAGCTATCCCCCTGGGTAGAGTATCGTGGCATCACAGCTCACAGCAACCTCCAACTCCTGGGCTCAAGCGAGTCTCCTGCCTCAGCCTCCCAAGTAGCTGGGACCACAGGCGCCCCCCACAACGCCTGGCCATTTTTTGGTTGCAGCCATCATTGTTGTTTGGTGGGCCCGGGCTGGATTCGAACCCACCACCTTAGGTGTATGTGGCTGGCGCCTTAGCCGCTTGAGCCACAGGCCCCGAGCCAGACAGTTAAATTTCAATGTATCCATTTGGCAAAACATGTTAGGACCGTGGCAGATGGTAGATGGTAGATGCCTCAGCAGTAAATAAGGATGAACTAGAACAACGTGCAGGGGCGTGGAGACCTCAAAATCCTTAGACTAAGAAAAGGAAGCCAGACAGGAAAGGCAACAGCCATTTACATGAAATTCTAGAAAGGGGAAAAATTCAGTGACAGAAAATAGATTAGTGGTTGCCAGAGGCGGGGGATGATAGGAGGAGATTCACTGCAAAGAAGCGCCAGGGAGTTTGGGGGGACAATGGGGGGGGTTTCTTTCATCCTGATGATTATGGTGATGGTTACGTTTGTCAAAACGCATGAGATCGTGCTATTAGAATCAGTGCATTTTATTGTAGGTAAATTAGATTTCAATCAGAGAAATCTGATTTTCAAAATGCTGTCCAGTTGTTTTTTAAGTTTTTAATGTTTTCAAAAATCAACATGGTCAAACACAACTCCTCTACTCAAGGCAGAAAAAATTAAATTCCATAAAAAATGCTGTTGGTGGAAAAAACTCATTTGCTATTTTAGAGGGGTGTTTCTGCTCACCCAGTTCTGTTGTTTCCTTGGAATTTATGGCCGGAGGGAGGTGCCTGGAGAAAAGTGACGTGGTGGGGAGGTGTTTCCTGAGGACACGGTATCTCTTAGCTGGTCTGTCAGACTGTCCCAGGGCTCCTGCCCCAGGAGAAGGAGACCGCTGGAGACACTGACCTCCCCCCATCATGTGTGACATGAGAATTTATCGCATCTCACGGAAACCATCTTGGAGGTGGACCACCCAGTTGAACACAATGCCCCTCCTGTTGAATGCGCGGATCCCTGTGTGCTCCGATCACAGGCAAACTCTGGTGAATTGCAGGGGAGAAACAGAATCTCAGATGGCTCAGAGAGCAGGCAGTTGGAAGGAACAGAACGTCCCAGTCCCACACACCACCTCCAGGCCAGACCCAATTAATCATCCTAGAAAAAGAACACCCTGTTCCAGTTAGTAAGACTTTACCACCGAGATGCCGCCACCCCTATGAATATTCAGCAATCACTTTCCAACCTGTAAGGTGGCCGGATGACAGCTGCTGCTCTTACCTTTTTCTCCCAAAAGCTAAAAAGAGAAGATAAAGGCTGAGCCTAGAGATTCTGGGAGGTAAATACCTGAAAGGCTTTTAGGGAACAGAGTTGTTTTCGAGTGTGTTTTTTGAAAAAGACCCCTGTATGCCTCCCCTAAAGAGATATCTGGCCAGCATTAGCAGAAAACCAAGCGCTATGAAAGCATGAATGCTGCTAGGATTTAATTAACATTTTGTCCTTCAGTATAACAAATATGGTTTTAAAAGGCCCTTCTGCTGTCCAGGGGGACTTGGAGTTGCCTTCTCGCTCAAGAAGAGCTGAGGTACAGGGCTATGGATGGTGGGACAAGGAAAGAAGGTGGGGAAGTGGTGGCCTCAGTGGTGGCTTCCAGGGCTATGAGGCAGTGCATCAGGAGCTAAGAGAATCCCGGTTATGAAAT